ACGGTCATGTACTGGATTTATTGACGGTGTAACAAACCACCTCCAATTCAGTAGGCTTAAAAACCACACATTTATTATTATTATTTCCACGGGTCTGTAGTTCCTGTGTGTCTTGCTGAGTCCTCAGCTCAGAGTCTCACAAGGATACAGTCAAGGTCTTGGTCAAGTTTCCTTTCTGAAGCTCGGGGGGCTCTTCCAAACTTACGTGGTTGGTGGCAGAACCAGTTCCTGAAGGTTGTCAGACGGAAGTCTTTGCTTTCTTGCTGGCTGTTAGCAGGGACTGCTCTGGGCTCCTGGAGCACCCCCCTACCCACCCAGACACACACACCAGTTCCCAGCCACGGGGCTCCTCACAATATGACAGCTTATTTCTTCAAGGTCGGCAGAAGAGTCACTCTTCAGGATGGCCCTGCCCCTTTTTCAAGAGCTTCTGCTGATGAAGTTGGGTCCACCTGGGATAATCTCCCTTTTGATTAACCCCAAATTGTCCGATTGGGGGCCTTAGTTACAACTGCAGAATCTCCTCACCGTTGGCATGTCGTGTAACCTAACCGTAGGAATGAAATTCACCACACTCAGAGGTCCTGCCCAACTCAAGGCAGGGGAATTATACTGCATAAGTAAATCAGAGGGGGAAAAACCTTGGGACCCATCTTAGAATGCCACTTCCCTCAAGTGGAGACCAGAGAGGTTTAGTTAGAACACGTTTCAGAAGATTTGAATTAAATCATAAAAACAAATAGAGGTAAACATCCGAAGTGGTTAGTTAAACTTATTACTTTTCTTGAAATTTTTTTTCACCAAAATCCTGTTCCGTTTCACCAAAACCCTGTATACCTGTATAACAAGGTATAATTTTACCTGTTTACATCAGATTTAGGTTGAACATGAATAAATGGAAAATGAAAGGACTTAGACCCTTAGACAAGGTTTTAATCTTTATTTTCATTTGTATTCTTATTTGAAATATATTGATGATTTGCCATGTGTGAGAGGTGAAAGAATGACATTTCTAACACATAAAAATTTCTTATAAAGTAAGGAAAGAAAAAAAGAAGAATCCTTGAAATAGGGACATTGCAGTCAACTGGCGAACACAGCCATGAATGGTTAACAGGCTTATTGAAGTGTGCAAATTCGTTTACACTTACAGAATAATGACACTACTTAATTAAAAGATCTCTTAATTATGTGCAGGCAGTTTTCTACTTCCTTTATATATATCACTTCTTATAACATGCAACCTTAAGTGCAAGTCCTATTCTGGGCTCTATTTTATAGATACAGAGAGGTTATGTTAGTTGCCGAAGGTCACAAAGCAGCAAGTGGCCGCACCCCAGTTCCAGCCAGGTAGTCTGGCTGGCTGTGACCTTCATGTGTTCCTGCCTTGCAGGTACACTGACAAGCCAACAATGGTCTGGCAGGTCTTGTTAAAACAATACCTAGTGTTGATGAGGGTTTGGGAAATAGGCCCTCTCTTAGACTACCCAGGATTACAGATGCAAAGGCCACAGGGAATAAATGACCTGCCCAAGACAGACAGCAGCGTGGGACAACCCAGGGCTGGAAGGCAGGTCTCCTCGCCCACAGGTTGCTGCCAGCTCTCTTACTTCTACTGTGTCTTTCTGGGTTCGCATGTTTTTGGTTGTGAAACTGGGGCCCTGGATTGACACTTTCTCAGGGCAGAGTGTGATGGTCGCCCACATAGAATTTAGGGTCAAAGAGCCCATTTCAATGCCACTTCTTCTGCTTCTGAGAGACTTGAAACAAGAGGGTTGACTTTTTTGAGCCTCATTTTTCTCAACTTCAAAATGACGATTCTAATAGTACCTACCTCATAGGATAGAGTGAAGATTTTAAATACAATCATATATTTAAGAATTTTAGCACAATACCTGGCTTCTTTAAGTCTCAAGAAGCAGCTATTCTCAAGTTATCTTGTGTCTTTGGGCACAGAGCCCGATGCTGACTCCAGTGTTGTTCCATCCTCTGGCAGGAGAAAAGCTAGAATGGTGATTGGCTGCCGTGACCATGGTCCCATTTCCCCATCTTTGTAGATCATGAAAAGCCTCATCTATCTTCCCTGATGAAGGAGGAGTTACTTTCTGTCTACCGTCTGCCCTCTGGGGAAATCACTTTTGCATCACTACCATAGTAGTCAGCCATCCAGATTTCCAGGGAACACAATTTACGAGCTAAGGAATGTCAGCTCCTGGTGTAAATAAATAATAAGGTTGGGTAGGAAAACAATTGCTGAAGTTGGCTACTCTGGAGAATGCTGTGAAGGCCGGGGTCCCTGCTTTCAGGACCCATGCAAGTGAATCCATGGATGAGGGTCTCCCAAACTCATAGACCTTCACCCTTGTATCACTCCTGGCACGTGCAAAATCTCAGAAGTAACTGGTTGGTCAGAACTAGGTTCACAGGGGAGGCAGGAAAAGGAGACAACAAAACAAAACCAACGTGATGTTGAGTCTGTGGGTGAAGTGCTGTATCACAGCCTTAACCTTGCCTT